ACCAGGCGGAGGTCCTCCATCTGGACCCGGCATTACTCCACCAGGTGGTCCAGGCATACGTCCACCTTCAGGACCCGGCGGGGGTCCTCCGTCTGAGCCCGGAATTACGCCACCAGGTGGTCCAGGCATAAGGCCACCTGTCGGACCCGGCGGGGGTCCTCCATCTGGACCCGGCATTACTCCACCAGGTGGTCCAGGCATACGCCCACCTTTCGGACCCGGCGGGGGTCCTCCATCTGGACCCGGCATTACTCCACCAGGTGGTCCAGCCATACGCCCACCTTTCGGACCCGGCGGAGGTCCTCCATCTGGACCCGGCATTACTCCACCAGGTGGTCCAGGCATACGCCCACCTTCAGGACCAGGGCCAGCTCCTCCATCTGGACCCGGCATTACTCCACCAGGTGGTCCAGGCATACGCCCACCTTCAGGACCAGGCGGAGGTCCTCCATCTGGACCCGGCATTACTCCACCAGGTGGTCCAGGCATACGTCCACCTTCAGGACCCGGCGGGGGTCCTCCGTCTGAGCCCGGAATTACGCCACCAGGTGGTCCAGGCATAAGGCCACCTGTCGGACCCGGCGGGGGTCCTCCATCTGGACCCGGCATTACGCCACCAGGTGGTCCAGGCATACGCCCACCTTCAGGACCAGGCGGAGGTCCTCCGTCTGGACCCGGCATTACGCCACCAGGCAGTCCAGGCATAAGGCCACCTTTAGGACCCGGTGGGGGTCCTCCATCTGGACCCGGCATTACTCCACCAGGTGGTCCAGGCATACGTCCACCTTTAGGACCAGGGGGAGGACCTCCATCTGGGCCCGGTATTACTCCACCAGGTGGTCCAGGCATACGCCCCCCTTCCAGACCGGGTTCGGGGCCTCCTTCTGGCCCCGGAACCACTCCACCAACTGCCCCAGACACACATCCACCTTGGCGACCAGGATCTGGTCCTCCATCTTTCCCCGGAACCACTCCTCCAACTGGCCCAGGCACACGTCCACCTTCCGGACCGGGTTCAGGTCCTCCTTCTGGCCACGGAAGCACTCCTCCAGCTGGCCCCGGAATCACTTACCCAACTGGTCCAAGCGCACGTCCACCTTTCGGTCCAGGCTCTGGCATGCCAGGGGGACCTGTAGGTCGCCCTCCGTTTGGTGGAGGCACATGGCCACCCTTCCGACCAGGTTCAGGTTTGCCTATAAGTCCCGGGGGTCGCCCCCCATTTGATGCAGGTACCCCCCGTCCACCCTCCGGCACGGAACCTGGCCAACCAGGTAGCACTGACACACAACCGCCTTACCGCCCTAGCATCCACCGCCCGTGCGGCACCGGTACATGGCCCCCATTCGGCCTGGGAAGAAGGCCTCCGTGCAGCTATGTGGTGAAACCGCCTCATCCGCCAGGTGGTATACCTCCGTACGTCCAAGGCCCTGAGAAGCCTCAATTCGATCAAGAAGGCAGTGCACCCGGATATGGCTTAGGCAGTGAAGGTCCCGGATGTGGCCCAGGCAATGCACTATCCGGGAAATATTCGTATAACGGAACACCCGAATGCAATCCAACGAAGGGGACAGGGCCTCAGCTTGCCATAGATAAAGGAAGACCGGAGTATCGGCAAGAAAGCAGAGGGCCAGAATATAATACTAACGTTAACGGAATTGCGAATAGGCCAGTCATGGGATGGTCCCAATACAACTCAGGCATTGGAGGAAATATGCATAATACAGGGAGTAAATTTCCAAAGCGTCCTATGTTCGGCCCAAGCAGAATGCCTCCATTTGCTCCAATCCCTGGCCCGGGAGGAGGAGATCCTCTGTTATTTTCTAGCCAGTTTCCACTCTTAGTGAGTGGTACAAGATCTACTCCTAGTATAAGAAGCCCAATGTTCACCGGTCCTCTTCTAATGCCTTATCTAAGGGGCCTCCAATCCCTAGCCATCGCCGAGCCTACCAATGAAGCTCGTGACTTGGAACCTCGATCCCAGCCAGGTGGAGGAGGAGCACAGATTGCCGCTACCGTTGGATCCGGATAGATAGTTCCCAATGAAGGGAGGGTCATTTATTTTTTCAAGTATAGCGCCTCAGGAATCTCCAAACATAAACTGTTGTAGACAGGACGGCCTCCCTATTGTCTCCAACAGAGGACAACTTATATTAATTACCGCATGCAGGCGTCGTGCACTAATTCTTGCACGAATTCAAAGAATTGTACGCCCAACGGAAAGGAGAAGGAGTCCTTCTTCGTTCTCTCACGGTGTTGCTCTCCAGCAGGCGGCTCTACTACATATACCCCATTGGATGTTTTTCTGCCCTTTTTATTTGATTTTAGAGGCATTATTTTATCAAGTTTATTGCGGATTGTGAGGTAGATAAAGAGGAACAAGAGGACTGCATTGAACAACCTGCAAAGAATACAACAATAGCAATAAGGGTCCCTAATACCCTATTTATACGTCCTGTTGTTGGTCACTGACCAACAACATGACGTATACAGGGTATATATAATTAGGATACAAATGTTTATCATGTAGCTGCAGCGTCTGTCTGCGCCGCTATACATGAGATGTAGTCATAAGACTGCAGGAGGGAAAAAACTTTTGAATATTGTTTGGTTTATTTTAGCTATTTAATTCCTTTTTTGCTCACGGTTGGCAAAATTAGATAAAATGTTTTTTTTTTCTTCTTAGTTTTAGCTGGTAGTGTCAACTTGTTTGCTCTTTTACTCCCCTCTTTTGCTTGTTGCCTGCCTGCTGTTCGTCTATCGTTCTGTCTCAGTTGTATACGATGCATTGTACAAACATATTGTGTAAGCTTGCTCTTTTTTATAGAAGAAAGTATTCATCTTATTGCATATATCCACCGTTATTTGGTTGCATGCACTAGACAGACATCCACGTAGGTATGCCCAATTTTTATCCGTTAAATGTTAGACGTTTACAACCCCACCAATTCCTTTGGATCTGCATAGTATTACAAGACTCCTTTATAGGTATAATGTGTACAGATCAGCGCGTAATATAGACAAGACTCCTGTGTACGTATAATATGTATATATATACAGATTAGGGAGTAATCTAGTCACGAAATATATGTACTAGTCAATATACATGTAAACAACAACTCCTCTAGCACACTGTTAACTGCTAGACCATCGCCTCCTTGATGGTACCAATTCTCCCTATCTGTTGAGGTTGAATCTTCTGCAGCCATATCCGTCTGTTTAGCAACAGAGTACAATGCATGCAGCAATCCTTTTGCTTAGCCGCAGAGCACCACTACGCATGCAGCTATCCTTCTGCGTAGCGACAGGGCAGAATGCTTGCAGCCATCCCTTTGTGCAGCAACGGTGCACGACGCATGCAGCACCTGCAGCCATTGGCCCTCCTTCGTTATTTCTGCAGAATTGCGAGTGTAGCGTCAACCTCCGCACGACTCCTTGGTGCGACTGCAGCAAATTATTTGTTGCTGTAGGGGGTACACAGGATCCTCTTTGTATATAAATAAGGTAAATAGGGAAAAAGAGAGGGAGATCAATCACTCAGCTGCTTCTTATACTGTTGTATTTAATTGCCTAATAATAACTATTGCATGCCTATCTACCTACTATAGTATACTATCCTGTTTCTCCTTTTCCTGCTGTTTATCTACTAACTCTATTTACCTATATATATTTATATACATATTTATTTATCCTTGCTGTCTATTTACTACCTCTATTTATCTATTTATTTATTTCTCTTATTTATCCGCAGTATGGATGTTAGCATAAAGAATTCAAAACAAATAGAAATAAATGCATGCACTCCTCCTTCCTGTTCTTGTTCTTATTAAGTATATTTATTATTAATTATTATTATTTACTAGTCGCTATCTACGCACAGCAGCAGCACTATGTGCCGCATACAGTGCTGTTTCCTTTCCTTTTTTTTCTTGTATATTTATTTTCCTGTAGTAAAAACAAATTAAATGTATCTTTTTTTTTTCTTCCTCCTTATTTATTATACCCTGTGTCTAGCGGAACAGGTAATACAATATAAGAGAGGAGGAAGAAGAAGGAATAGATACAATCCATAGAAAGGAGCTGGCTGTACGTATACGCCTGTATATACATATACATATACAGATATATATGTATACGTATATGTATATGGATATTTTGCTCCTTAATTGATGATGGATACAGGGATCTATACGAAGACACCCTGTAAAAAGACAAGAATCTGCATATCCGCCATTAATTAATCCTTTCTCTCCTCTGTCTATGCCCCTCCTCCTCCTCCTACTTCTCCTCCTACTTCTCCTCCTTTCTTCCTCTTCTTGTACACCTCTGCTGCGTCGTTGAATCGGTGCGCATGCATTTGCATGCATATGCATGCATGCACACCAATTACCCAACCACGCGCATGCATGATATATAACTCCTACCTGGCTTCATACAGTGTACATAATTTAGGGTATATATATACATATATACATATATATATATATCCGTATACACGATGTATACGAATATATGTATATGTATATGTATACAGGGAGAAAATAACACCAGCAGATATACGATTTGTCTATACAAACAGTAAATAGATAATATATAAATAAATAAATAAATATATAAATATATAAATATGTATACCCCTGAGTATATTTATATATATATTATATATATTTCCTAAATAGCTGCAACTTATTGCATGCAGCAGCAGATATACTGCTGCTGCTGCTGCATATTATACATTCATATATTCCTGCCGCGGGCTTCTTCTTATCTATTTGCATAAATATATAAATATATATTATATATATTTATATATATATACATATATATATTTATATTTATATATTTATATATTAATTGCAGCTATTTATAGTTCATCCTTGAGTCCTGCACCTGCAAGATCAATATTACTGAATAGATCCTCAGCAGATTTTCCATCAAAATTATAATCATTATCCTCCCCTTGTTCTTTTTCTCCTTTTTCTTCTTCTTCTTCTTCTTCCTCTTCCCCTCCTCCTCCTGCTGCCTCCTCACCTTCATCCTGATTGATGGGATCGTTGGGATCGACTCCTATCTGTGTAGCGATCCCCTTATATAATAAATCAGCAAGTTGTGCAGGTTCATCAACATCGAACCCTGATGCTAGCATAGCAGCATTAAATAAACCTTCTGCTAATTGTTTATCCCTTTCTTCTTGTATTTTATTATTATTATTATTATTATTATTATTATTATTATCTCCTTCCTCTTTTCTTTTATTTATATTTATTAATAATTGCTGTATTATACGATGATTAGGATTTAATTCATATACTTTTTGTGTCTTAATTAGATTTAGATGTAAATTATCATTAAATGTTTGTGTTTTTATTATTTTCTCCATTTGTGCAGAATATCCATATTTAGTTGCAAATACACCACAAGGAGAAGTAATTAATCTCTTACTTATCTCTATTTTATTTATTTTATTACCTAATACTCTCTTATACCAATCTATTAATGGTTTATATCTTTTCTCTATTCTTTTGTGTCTCTTCTTCTCCTCTTCTGTCTCCTCTAATGTTATATTCGCCTTCTGTATAGATTCAAACTTCTTACCTGTATACATATACATATATACATATATACGTACATATATACATATATACATATATATACATAAATACGTACATATATATATACATATACATATATGTGTATGTGTATACGTATTATCAATTTATTCTTGTCTCTTTATACATCGCATCTAATAGGAAAAGGACCTCATATATATATATTAGCATGTATATATACATGTACGTGTACGTATACGTATACATATGCATATACATATACATATAAACGTATACATATACACATATATACATAAAAAATAATATCTAACTCTTGTACGTTCCTCCATTGGCTCTAATAGGAAGAGTACCTCATATACATATATACAACATATACATGTACATATACACATACATATTTCGTATACGTATACAACATATACATATACATATATATTTACGTATACATATACATATTACATATACATATACATAACACATATAGATATATAGATATACATATACACTATAGATATACATATATAGATACAGATATACATATATATATAGATATAAATATAGATATAAATATAGATATAAATATATATTTATGTATATAATAATGAGTAGCAGCGTACCATCAAAGTCTTGTAGTCTTTGTATACAAGGTTCCTCCATTGGCTCTAATAAGAAAAGTACCTCATAACCTTTCTTAATAAAGAATTGCATCTGTGGCTGATTAAGGAGCTGCTGTGTACTGTCTCCTGCTGCATAATATATTGCCTGCTGCCCCTCCTTCATCCTTTGTATATATTCCTCCAAGGAGACAGAAGGAGACAATTTATTAGGGTATAAAGATGAATAAAATAATAATAATTTAGCTATCTTGTTCCTGTTATCATCATCCTCATAACAACCTAACATTAGATTCTTACCATACTCCTTATAAAATAAATCATATATATTTTGTTTATTTAATTCCTTATTTATTTTTTCTTCTTTTTCTTTATTATCTATTTCTTTTTCTTTATTAACTAAATTATTCTCCTTAATTTCCTCTAATTGTTTATATAATTCTTTTTTTTTTTTATTAGTATCTATATATAATTTTCTTATAGTATCTAATGTTTTTCTTACTATTTTTTTATTAATTATATTTATTATCTTATTTTGTTGTAATTGTTCCCTATTAACATTAAGGGGTAAATCATCACTATCTATTATACCTATAATAAAGGAAAGATATTTAGGTAATAAATCCATGAATAAATCATTAATAAGTACACGGCGTACATATAATTTTATATTATTATTATTTTTATTATAATATTGATTATATATATCTATATTTTGTTTCTTAGGTATATATAATAAACAATTAAATATTATCTCTCCTTCCCCTATAAAATGTATATGTATAAGGGGACTATTATAGTCTCTTGTTAATTCCTTATAAAATAATTCATACTCTTTTTCCTCTATCTCCTCCTTAGGTCGTAACCATATTGCTTTTTGTTCGTTTATTCTCTCCCATTCCTCTACTTCTTTCTCTACTCTCTTTGTCTTCTTCTTCCCTTCCTGCACCACCACCAGCAGCAGTAGTATATGTATTATATACATGCATGCATGCATACATACATACATACATACATACATAAATGTATATGAATATGTATATACTGTATATATATATACATACAAATATAAATATATAAATAAATAAATAAATAAATATATATATAAATATATATATTTATATGGACATACTTTCTCTGTTTCTTCATCAAGATCTTGTACCTCAACATCATCATTTATTTTTTTGTCTCCTTCTTCCTGCCCTTCTCCTTTCTTCTCTCCTCCCTCTCCCTCTCCCTCTCCCTCTCCTTCCTGTATAGGTATTTCCTCTGTTATAGTTTTTTTATTTTTTATATAAATAGGATAAGATAAGAAAAGAGAATATTTATGTATTAATTGTTTAATAGTATAATAATTAAGTAAATAAGTTGCATCTTCTTTTATATGTAATATTATACATGTACCTCTTATTAATGTATTACCTCTTGGATCTTTTTTTATATAATATCTAGCATCTGCCTTACTCTCCCATATATATTGTTCTCCTTCTTCTTCTTCTGTCTCCTTTATTGTCTCCTTTTTATTATTATTTAATTTATTTAATTTATTTAATTTATTTAATTTATTCTTATTTAATCTCTTATCTGTTCTTGTTATTACTGTTACCTTATCCGCAACAAGAAATGATGAATAAAATCCAACACCGAATTGTCCAACAAGAGACACCTCAGGAGACACCTCACCAGCAGCAGCAGCAGCACCACCACCAGCAGCAGCAGCAGCAGGAGAAGAAGGAGGAGACACTTTATTACTTAATAATGTCTCTATAAAGTTATTAGTACCTGATTTAGCTACTGTACCTAGATTATTAATTAGTTCTTGTTTATTCATACCTATACCTGTATCACATATATATAATAATTTATTCTTATTATCTATCTCTATATACACCGCAAGTTCTATCTCCTCCTTCTTGCTGCTGCTGCTGCTGCTGCTGCTAGTGTCTCCTTCCTCTTCTTCCTCTGCTGCTGCTATAGATAAGAAACGGGCCTTCTCTAGGGCATCAACAGCATTAGATATTAATTCACGAATAAATACATCTCTTTGTGTATATAAAGAATTTATTATTATATCCATTAATCTATTTACTTCTGCCTGGTATTCATGTGTCTCCTTTTCTGTCTCCTTTCCTTCTTCTCCTTCTCCTTCTTCTCCTCCTTCTAGATCAGGGAATGCTGTTAATGTCTCCTGTAATCCTTTTGGCTCTGTTACTCCTCCTCCTCCTCCTGCTGCTGATGATGTGTCTCCTCCTGCTGCTGCTCCTGCTGCTGCTGCAGCAGCAGAGGATGAAGAATCATCTGCATGCACATTGCAGCAAATTATGCTGCATATATACAACACAAATAATAATAATAACCAATTACGCCCCATTTGTTCTTCTCCTTCTCCTTCTCCTGCTGCTGCTGCTGCTGCTGCTTCGTCCTGCTGCTGCTGCTGCTGCTGCTGCTGCTACTTGTGTTATTAGCAGACAGAGCAAGCAGAGGAGATGTCTCCTTTCTCTCTTTCTTCTTTTTTCCTCTTTTTTTATTTATTATATAATAAGAAGAGGGACGCTAATTATGCCTGTATATATACAAGAAAAAAAAAAAAGAAAGAAAAAGATGCATGCATTATTTATTTATTCATTTATTTATATGTATTAATAATTAATATATATATAAATATATATAAATATACACCCCCACCCCCCTCTTATTAATCACGAGATAACGAGCTGCATATACACCGCACGAAGAGACGGGAGGAGAGAGGGAGAGAGGAGAGAGCGCGTCTCCTGTCTTTGTTGTATATTTTTCCTGTTTTTTTCTCCCTTTTTTCCCTCTTTTATTGTTTATATAATAAAAATAAATATAATTATATATATTAATAAACAGAGACAAGAAATAAACAAACAAATAATACCCCTATACCCCCATTTATTAATAAATATAAATATATATTTTTTTCCTGCTTTTTATGCATATACTTACCTCTTTCTTTGCTGCAGCACAAACTTATTGAGGTGTACGTACACCTCAATGCATGCAAGAAGAAGACAGATAAAAAAAAAAAGAATTACAGACAACAGACTCTCCTGTTGCTACTGTTGTTGCTCCTGTTCCTCCTGCTGCTGCTGCTGCTACTGCTGCTGCTGCTGCTGCTGCCGCTGCTGCCGCTGCTGCTGCTGCTGCTGCACACTACGTACGCCGCAGCAGCTATATACACTCCAAGCAAGCACCACGAGGTGTCTTGCTGCTCTTTTATATTAAATAAATAAATAAATAATAAATAAATTTAATTCTTTTTATAATAATAAATAAATAAAAAGGATAAACTTTATCCTCTTGCTGCAGCTGCAGCAGCAACAGCAGTAGCTGCTGCTGCTGCTGCTGCACCAGCAACAGCGAGAGAGGCTAGTGCTGCAGCAGCAGCGGCTTCGTCGACACCACGCAGCGGCTGCTGGAGCAGCGGCAGCAGCAGAAGCGGCAGCAGCTGGAGCAGCAGCAGCAGCAGCAGCAACAGCAACAGCAACAGCAGCAGCAGCAGCAAGATAAAATATCCTTTATTGATTGTATTTTCTTTAATTTTTGTTTATTTTCTTTTGCATGCAGCAGCAGCAATTCCCTTTCTTCCTCGGCAGCAGCAACACAAAGCATAAGGGGCGGTGCTCCCATCAGCAGCAGCAGCAGCAGCAGCAGCAGAAGCAGCAGCAGCAGCAGCAGCAGCAGCAGTTTGTTTGTCAATCTTAAGGTGTTGTAGGTTAGACTTATTATACCTGTGGCTCAATAAAGAGCAGCAGGGCTGACCAGCAGCAGCAGCAGCAGCAGCAGCAGCAGCAGCAGCAGCGGGTGTGTGTGTGTTGCTGCTGCATATATAAAAAGGGATAAAAAGAGGCAGCAGGAAAAGGAGACAGGAGAAAGAGGAATAAGAAGGGAGGAGACACAAAAAGGAGACAGCTAGAGGGACAGGTACATAGGGGAATAAGGAGGACAATAAGAGGGGATATATGCATATAGAGGGAAAAAGGAAGACAGCAGCAGCAGCAGCAGCAGCAACTGCAGCAGCAGCAACTGCAGCAACTGCAGCAGCAGCAGCAGCAGCAGAGAGAGAGGGAGAGAGGAGGTATATATACCCAAGGTATAAGGAGACAGAAAAGGAGACAGCAGGAGACACAGGAGGTGTGTGTATAAAGGGGGGGAAATAAATAAATAAATAAATAAATAAATAAATAAATAAAAAGGAGACAAATATAATAAAGAAAAAAAGGAGACAAATAAATAAATAAATAAATATAAATAAATATATAAATAAAAAAGGAGACAAAGTGGCAGATAAAAGGGACAGAAATGTCTCCTTTCTGTCTCTTTTCTTCCTTTGTCTCCTTTTTTGTCTCCTTTTATACAATGCAGGCAGTAGGCTATAAGGCTCTGCTTATTAATTATTCAGCTGTACGTACACCTCAAGCCGTACCAGACCCTTAATTTATTTATCTATTTATTTATTTATTTATTTATTTATTTATTCATTTACTTATTACCTGCCTATACACCCCAACTTTTTCTTATATCGTTTGTCTCTTCTTATTATTATACTATAAGGGAGGTCGCCTCTGCAGCAGCAGCAGCAGCAACAGCAGCAACAGCAGCAGGAGGAGCGGCAGATACTGCAGCAGCAAAGACTGCAGCAGCAGCAGCAGCAGCAGCAGCAATATTTCTTCTTCTTCTTGGCTTTGTTTGTTATCTTGTTAAGGGAGAGCTGCCTATACACCCCAACTGTTTGTTTGTCATAAGAAAAAAAAAGAAAATAAATATAAATATAAATATATATAAATATAAATAAATATAAATAAATATAAATAAATATATATTTATTTATTTATTTATATTTATATAAGGTTTATATATTATATAAATAAAAAAAAAATAAATAAATAAAAAAAAATATAAAAAAGGATAAATAATTATTTATTGTATTTATTTTTCTTCTTTATTTACTAATTGTATAATTTATTTATTTATTTATTTTTATTTTTATTTATTTATTTTTTTATTTATTTATTTATTTATTAATATATACCTGCCTATACACCTGAATATAATATATATAAGTATATA